AATGGAGCATATGAGTAGGGAAAAGAGAGAAGTGGAGGTGTGTGCTGACAGAATGGAGTGTATGAGTGTTGGAAAGAGAGAAGTGGAGGTGTGTGCTGACAGAATGGAGTGTATGAGTGTTGGAAAGAGAGAAGTGGAGGTGTGTGCTGACAGAATGGAGCATATGAGTAGGGAAAAGAGAGAAGTGGAGGTGTGTGCTGACAGAATGGAGTGTATGAGTGGGGGAAAGAGAGAAGCGGGGGGGTGTGCTGACAGAATGGAGTGTATGAGTGTTGGAAAGAGAGAAGTGGAGGTGTGTGCTGACAGAATGGAGCATATGAGTAGGGAAAAGAGAGAAGTGGAGGTGTGTGCTGACAGAATGGAGTGTATGAGTGGGGGAAAGAGAGAAGTGGAGGTGTGTGCTGACAGAATAGAGTGTATGAGTAGGGAAAAGAGAGAAGTGGAGGTGTGTGCTGACAGAATGGAGTGTATGAGTGGGGGAAAGAGAGAAGTGGAGGTGTGTGCTGACAGAATGGAGTGTATGAGTGGGGGAAAGAGAGAAGTAGAGGTGTGTGCTGACAGAATGGAGTGTATGAGTGGGGGAAAGAGAGAAGTGGAGGTGTGTGCTGACAGAATGGAGTGTATGAGTGGGGGAAAGAGAGAAGTAGAGGTGTGTGCTGACAGAATGGAGTGTATGAGTGGGGGAAAGAGAGAAGCGGGCGGGTGTGCTGACAGAATGGAGTGTATGAGTGGGGGAAAGAGAGAAGTGGAGGTGTGTGCTGACAGAATGGAGTGTATGAGTGGGGGAAAGAGAGAAGTGGAGGTGTGTGCTGACAGAATGGAGTGTATGAGTCGGGAAAAGAGAGAAGTGGAGGTGTGTGCTGACAATTCATGGCAAACAATAACCTGTGTTTATACAGTGATCGCTCGCTATTGCGCTCTTCGATAAAGCGCTACTTCGGTTATTACGCGCGGTAACGCATGGCTCCCAAAATTTATGTACACTTTTAATACTGAGAGTTTTACACAGACATGATTGTATTGTTGTTCGTTGTTTATTTGCACATAACGCTTCTCATTGCATAATCAACGGTTTATCGCTGAATGGAGTTCTAATAATCTGTTTGAAAATATCCGCGGCAAGTCCCGGAAATACGATTGTTCAACTAGTTAACTTTTCACACTATACATCCTTTGATCTTAGAAGCGCATGCATGCAATAAAAGAGAACCACAAGTGAAGTTTATATTCTTAATTAGTGGGCAATCCAATTTAAGGCTAAACTGTCACACAAATGTAGTTGCTGTCACAACACGGCGGTCATTCATTTCGTAATCGCGCTTTCGTAACATCGCCTGTTTTTTCCCCGTAGTTATAACAAGCGATTTCATTGGATTAAAATTGGTTTCTAATGACGCTTTCTTGCCGAAATCTGCTACAAGTTTCGTGATTGGTCAATTTTGAGCACGTGACCTCAGGCAGCCAATCAAGCTTTGATACAAAGCTCGTGTTTGATAAATTTCAGAAGTTAGCGAAAGATTTTTTGTTAAATCGTGTTATTCTGAACGTTTTAAGCAGGAAATCACGATATATATTAAAAATATGGAACTTCGCGAATGTATCGTGCTAGGTTACGAGCTGTGACAAAGATTTTTCATGCATATATTTTTGCATTAAACGTTGTGTCCGAGCCGAGAATTCAAGGCGACGAAAGCCGAGATGTCATTTGACTTACATTACACGCGGTCGCACAAAACGATGGAAATAATAACTTAGATGTAAGTTTGATTACTTTTAGATATATTTTTGTTGATTTTATTTATCACTTTGTATAATATATTTAAAGATTTGCTTAAAATAGTCTATATTTTGCTCTTTGACATGTTCGATGCGGACCCGTTGTCGAAATGTGTGTCCGAGAATTTTATTTTCAATAACATCGCGGGAAATAGTGAATAATTTTTTAATTTATTGATAAAAAATGATAAATTAGAATGGAATACGTATTTCAGACATTGTGAAATATGACAGATTTAATAAATGAATGATATTACAGGTAGATCTAGGTCCATAAAAATATATACTATTTTGACGTGACGTGAGATAAACACATAGGCCTATTGATGATTTGAGATTTGCCGAGCGCGCTCCCCCGCCTCGGCTTCGGTTAAACGGCTCATCGTCTATAACGCCCACCAATTATTTGGACCCCATTGGTAGCGCAATAGCGAGCGATCACTGTATGTGCACATGAATGAGGTCAAGAATGATTTACTGAATGTTATCACATAATGCTATCATTTGGTAAAAGTGCAAATGTGTTACCAGACTTTGTCTGTGCTGTTACTGTTGAAGTTTTGAAAGTTGACTATTCTCGTTTCCTTACAGCTTTTTGCTTGGAATAAGCAACAATAACCTCAAAAAGTGCCATTAAGGTTGTTGGTAGAGTTTCTGATCAAGTTCTATTTTTGAGATGAGCAATTCCACATAAGATTGGTTTAAGAATTTTTGCTTGTCTGTGCTGTTACCAAACCTCACATTTTTATCTAATTAATGTCACATACGAAATACACCTAACACTTTGATATGCACATTCATTGAGTTTCCCTTTTTTTGACTACCTTTACTTCTGAAACACAGAACAAAGAAATAGTTATTATAATTTTGGCAATTACAAAATATTTTGTCTTTCCTGTTACCGTGTTGTCTGTCCTGTTACCATGAATGTCTTTCCTGTCACCAGGTTTCTGCCATCTCAAAAGCTATAATTGGTTCAACTCTGCTGACAAAAATATATATAATTAAAAAAATGAGTGTAATAACTATTATTACCTTATAGAATAATGGTAGTTCCTTTTCAGTGTAAGCAGTAGACAAGTTTATCGTACATCTTTTTGCAAATAATTCCATTGTATGCATATATTTACAGTCTAATAATTTAGTAAAGCCAATAAATGAAATTTTAAAGCTGTTGGTATTTGAACTATGCCAAAATGCAACAACCATATCATAAATTTAATTCATTTTAGATTTATGTTCGGTGACAAAAACTGAATTTTATGCACGGTAACAGCACAGACATTTGGTACAGAGATACCAAAAATAGTTTTCTGCAAAAAGGAAAATAAGACATATTAAGCCTGCATACTTTACACTTGTATTCAGTTTTTGTTGTGTTGTTTATCTGCTCAACAAAAACATTTCAAAAATGAATTCTGATTTGTTGATTTTTCATAGGCCAAAATGTTACTTTTTCAGAGAATGACCCATATATCGTTTCAGGATATTATAACCCGTGTTCGGTTCTCAACTGATCACTTAAATTGTTTCAGGTGTTTCATATAGGTGAAAAGTCTCAAAGGTCAGCTGAGAAAGCCCACGTGACAACTATTTTCATAACGTCCACGGTTCCTAAAAAATCCATTGAGCTAGATAACAATGAGCAATTAATCGATGTATTATCGGTTAACCCTTTGAACAAAGTATGTTGTTTTTACATCGGCACTTCACGCCATAATATGAGTGTATTCCCTTTGTTTTAGAAAACCTAGACATGTAAACTCTCACTTTTGACATATCCACCGTGCAAGATGACAGTGATTAATCAATCAATGTATTTTCTGTTTATCCTTTGCTGACTACGAACGATCCACTGATTTACAAAAAAAAGTAAATCAACTGATCATTCATCTCTTGCTGGGCTGCCACGTGCATATTACATAACACACATTTCACCTCACTTCAAACCTGGATTTAGATTGAATAATTACCGCAGACACAATAAATGCCAAATGGGAAGCTTCCTCAGGTATTCGGAGTGGTGCAACCACTAATTGTACCTGTAATAAATTCATTAACTGAGCATCAAGTGAATGAAGACAAATACACAAGTGTAGGGTTATACCAGAAAACGTGGATGACAACAAGGAAGTAGTAATCGTATTATCGACACAATCCGAAATCCGAAAATGCTTTCACTGCATTGATACTTTTTTTAAAACTATAACAATCAGGGTTTTTTCCAAATGACGACAACCGATGAGCTCCGCCGTTCTTTTTGTCTGTTTGTTTAGGCTGAAGAAATTAATTAACATGCGCCCTTTGTCGAAATCTTTATAGATCACGGTTAACCAATCAGTGTTCAAAAATGGGTAAAACAAATATTGCCTCCAAGTTTATTTTGCTGTCCTTGCAGATGGTAGCCCAGTCTCTTGTCATGCTCAGTTGCGTTGCGTATCATCCGGGTACTCACGAAAAAAAACAATAACAAAGGCAACGACCAGTCACAGGGAATAGCTTTAGATCAGTGCCCCTTTAAGGATATTATAACTCGCCGACCTGTGGTTATCCCTGACGTAATTTAGAGGATGTGCTGAATCTCATAAATATCCTTCGTCAAGTCAAGCATCCAGAGTGAGTCATTTGAGTTTTTACGCCGCGTTTCGCAATATTCAAGCAATATCGCTGCAGGGGATACCAGAAATGGGATTCACACATTGTACCCATACTGAGAATTGCACCTGGGTCTTTCAGCATGACGAGCGAACTTACGCTTTAACCACTTGGCAACCCCACCGCCCCTCAAATTTCCTAAGATTGTCATTCATTAAAATAGTAATTACACAAACAGACACTGATCTTAGTGCAATGTGACAAATTCTGTTTAAGTAAGTGATTATTTTAACCTGGGATAAACACGGCCACTATATAGTCCGTTAGCCCGAAACTAGTAAAAATCCAGATTGACTATAGTTGTTTTCTGAATAAAAACTAGTTACTGCTAGCATTGATTTGACTAACTGTGTCTATCACAGTTTTAACAAATCACTAAAACAGTTGCATTCACCATTGTTGAACCGAAAATACGACTAGGCCCATATCATAATCATGTCTGCAGCACTCTGAATCAGAGTCTGATGGCGGATGGCGGTGACAGATCGGATAAGATGAGACAGAAAGTATGCCTACAGTCGACACGTTGTAAATATTATACGCTGATGTTGCAGTCTCTTTCATCTTACCTGTGCGGTGTTAGACTATCCAAAATATGGTTAAGAGGCGATATCTTTCAGCTGAAATCCAAGCAACGCCCGTTGCCTATTACGCAAAGTAGTAAACACGGAAGTGCGTAGTGTTGAGAATTGACCAATCAAATTCATTCTTACTTTCGCAATACATTCAACGCGTCACGATGACAGTAACCGAGAGCGGGTTTTACAAAAGACATGATAAGAGACATGCGTGAACAGTGTTCACTATAAATTGCGCAATTTAACATATAATATATGTTTATTGTATACTGTCCATACACCTGGATAGCATGTGTTACAATCGTACCCAATCATTGTTCAATTGTAACACAAAAGGGTCAAATGTAACAAACTGTTTAATATTGATAATACTCTAAAATAGAACTATGAAACTGATTAACTTTGTTCGGAGAATCCTTGTTTTGATGTACACTCTCCATGACAATACTTGCATGAAGAACATTGTACCCATTCTTCACCTGGACGACTATTTGAAAACTTTTGGTAACAAAGTGCTTCTTCCTTTGTTTAATCGCCAGACGTTTTAGTTTTAGTTTTAGTTTTGTTTTCTTCTTTTCTTTTGCCTTCAGTTTCTTTTCTAACAAGATCCGTTTGACAGTCGTGTCAGTAAGAAATTGGGATTTCTTTCTTTTTCGTCCTCCCTTTTGTTGTTTACGGGGCTTTGCCTTCGGGAATGGTTTAACAGTTTCTGGCGAGAATTGAACTGGACCTAAAGTCCTCGGGACAGAACCATTTGGGTGAGGTGAATGGGGTTTAAACGTCGCGCTCAAGATTATTGCACTTTATGTGTATACGGACTTGTTTGTACTAGACTGGAATGGTTTAACAGTTTCTGGCGAGAATTGAATTGAAACTAAAGTCCTCGGGAAGGATCATTCGGGTGAGGTGAGGTGAATGAGGTTTAACGTCGCGTTCAAGATTATTGTACTTTATATGTATATGGGTAGGTTTCTCGGCAGGGTAAAGCCAACGGATAAAAACGATATCCGTTGGGGTCATATGCGGATAGAGATGCAAATATCAAAGGTCAAGTAGGGACTACTTTCACTGTTTATAAACAAACATGGCGTCGCCCTCGTCATTTGGCGATCGAGTCAGAATTAACCATCGGGAATCTGGATAAACTACAGAGATAATTGCTTTCATTATCAAAAGAACAGTCTAATATACTGAAAATCAGTGTCTAACTGTGACGTAGCTAAGGCATTTTATAAGTTTTGGCAACTTTGAAGATATAAATTTCGACACAATTTTGCGAGGCCACGAGACCTAGCCAAGTGGGATCAGTAGCCATATCTGTGCTTGTAGTCCTCTGCGGCTTGAACCTTTCTCCACAAATTAAAATAGTTGGATTTGGCCGAAATATGTTTAAATTGTTACCTTGTTTCGTTTTGTCGCTGTGTGTACATCTGACTACACTTCTTAACGTTATGACAGGACAGACTGTCAACGTCTGACCGTGGCTGTGACGTCTCATAGACTAGGATTAGAGTAGCTTCCCTTTGACAAAGGGCAGTTACTCCAGCAGACCGATGGATTGCCGCGAAAGGCAATTAAAAACACCCATTGCGTATATGTTGCTTCGCCACTGTATAAGAAAGAGATTTCAGTTGGAACTATATTGGCTAAATATTAATGCGCGCATTCCAGGAAAACTTGCAATGTTTCGGTATTGTTTGTGAGAGAGGGAAAGCGATTTTGAAGCACAGAATTAAAGAATGACATTATATGATAAAGAGGTTATCACGCTTGTGTGTTTGGGGATGGTAAATATCCTGCATTAGGAATAAACACTATGTATTTAGCTCGCCAAGGTGGTCATAAGCAGGACTATATTGCTTTCACGTTTTGTCCGGGGCATATTGTTGAACAACGTATTGAATACCATCACAATGCGAGGTGCTAATTCTACGTTATCAGTGTAGATTATCATTAACAGCTTACTGTGGGTGACATTTTATCATATATTTTAGAAATCGTTCATTGATCGATGAACCAGCTGTGTTAAACTAAGCGTCTGAAAAATAACCAGTCATGCATGTATGATACGACATGTTAATAATGAGGTGTATGTTTCAATGTCGCCATTCCATTCTAATTCCATTGCATTTTAAAAAAAGCAACATAGGAAGTGTCCGACTTCTGCTTCTCCGCTGTCTGGGTACTGCCGACTGTGTCCGAGTACTACCGACGCTGTCGTCAAGCTAACGGTGTCCAGGCATTCGTGACCAACTCGTGTTATTCCGGGACAAGACGAATCTTCTTGCAGGTTACGGAAAGAGGCGAGTGGTGAAGAATGGATATCCAGGCATTCGTGACCAACTCGTTGTATTCCGGGACAAGAGGAATCTTCTCATTCGTCAACACTCGCCCCTTCCCGTAACCTGCAAGAAGATTCGGCTTGTCCCGGAATAACACGAGTTGGTCACGAATGGAATCTTCTTGCAGGTTACGGAAAGGGGCGAGTGGTGACGAATGGGTATCCAAGTTCAGACTGAGCAAGATGTTCTTTGCCTGTTGGACAATCTTCAAAACAACCAGCAGTTGTCTCCCTTTGTATCATCAATTTTCCGTTTAAATCTGACGATACGTTCGTGTGTTGTATATTGCAATGATTGTAATGTGTCCGGGCATATTGTTCCGTCCATGTTTCATCCGTGTCACAGATCTATAGCATGGGGCAGTTCCACAATTTCTACTTCAAAATATGGCGCAAGTTTCCATTTAAAAAAGTTTCATCACACAACTAGCAGTATACGTCCGGTGCAAGAAACAACAACATTATGGTACTTATTGAGGTGTTTTACTTACCTGCATACAATTAGGATTTTGTTCACTGCTTCTTACGTTGGGGCAACTGTTTCATTAAAGCTGGGTGTCCTTGGTGGGAAGTCTTAGGGAAGTAAATCTACATTGCCTATCATTTGCTATAGCGTTTCTTCCCAGAGTAATTTCCCTTGTTACAAATGCCCCAAAAGTTCCTCGCCGAGTTACCCCGATCGCTGAGGTCTCTGTACTATCGCTCTCTCGTGACCAACTCGTGTTTTTCCGGGACAAGCTTCTTGCAGGTTACGGAAAGGGGCGAGTGGTGACGAATGTATTATCGCTGCCACCAGTCTCCGCACAGTGATAGATGACCACAACCATGCTTGGAGTTGAACTCGCAACCGAATAACCGTTATGTTTGCAAACAAGTGACGACTGAAAACATTTACCCCTGCTAAATTACTTTCTTTGTTTTACAATTTTCCAGCGCGTGACTCCTTCGATACACCCTCGGTAACATTGCTGCCTCCAGTGTGAGCGCGGCCATTACAAGAATCTTGAAATTTGCCCTCTAACCCAAATGTAGTAACGTTTATGTTTTATGTCTTTGTGAATGCCAATACCGTTATTTTTTAAAAGGTTTACGACTGACCATATTTTCCAGATGAATTAACCTTTTTTTTGTTTGATCGGATTGGTTCGAGATTGCAGACGAACGGAAAATCAACCAACTTCTGCCCTACATGCTCACACCAATTACATGATAGTTGCAAATTGACAAAGAAAAGAATTTAGCAGGGGTAAGAGTATTCGGCGTCACGGCAGTCATCACTTGTGTGTAAACATAACGGTCAGTTGGTTCCGAGTTCAACTCCAAGCATGCTTGTAGCCACCTATCACAGTGGGGATCTCTAACTGGTGGCAACGATAGTAATAGGATGGTCCGCTAACGGGATATCGCTGTGGGGAGCTTGAAATGTCCCGTGTTACATTTGGCCCCTGACTCCCCTTATATTACCACTCGGCGCTGTCAATACATGTAATAATTATAATCCACTGGTATCAATATGTATTCCATAAGAGTGACATCTTAAAATCGAATTTATAAAATTATATAGAGATTATTATACGAGCATGCGTGTCATACAGATTTTACGAAACAAGTGTCAGAATTCTTGTATTTCCCGAGAAGGTAATATACATGAATTCTTACAACAGTTTCGTAAAATCTGTATGACACGCACGCGAGTGTAATAATTTCTTTTATTATACACTTCAGTGTGAAAGACTGAGTTTTCCGAAGTTGAGAAAAGTGATATTTTCATTGCAGTGAAGACAACACTTGTTATTTCACTGCAGTGGTACCCTTGAAGATCCGGGATAGAATTGGTCGATCTTCCGCAACCTATGCTTATCCTACGAGGCGACTAACGGGATCGGGTGGTCAGGCTCGCTGACTTGGTTGATGCATGTCATCGTATCCCAATTGCGTGGATCAATGCTCATGATGTCAATCACTGGATTGTCTGGTCCAGACTGGATTATTTACAGACCGCCGTCATATAGCTGGGATCTTGCTGAGTGCGGCGTTAAACAACAAACAAAACAAAACAAAAAATCACTGCAGTGAACATAACACTTGATATTTCATTGCTGTGAACATAACACACAACACAATAGTGACCTCCCGTCAAATTGTCTCCCTTTGTCTGGCTCGTAGAAAAAACCTGTTGACTTTCTTTTTACGTTAGTTAGACATTGACAAGGCAAAATAATGACACATGGTCAATTACGGAGTAAATATCGCTTCATGTCGTTTGTTATTACTTAAAAATGTTTTTTTATAAACTGTCATTTTCTCATTTAACTCGTCAGTCGAGGCTGTTGTTTCGCAAAGAGCCATTTTGTTAACTTGACCAGCGTGTATTCTTTCGCTTCCAACAGCGGTCTCCTAGTTTTCAAGAATATATTTTGTTAAAGTTGATTTTGTATATAATCATATCTAAATGTATGATATGGACATAAATATTTGTTGATACTTTTGTTTATATTGTTTAAGATTTTGCAAATACGAAACTAATTTTTAAGTCGCAAATACAAAGAGGGGTCAACCGTCCCTGTGTGTTGGGTTGGGAGATTTTACGTTTCAAGGTTTTACATTTTTAATGAAATGATTTAATTTTCCTATAGACCCCTACAGAAAAAGTATGTAATAAATAGGATATTGCATATGTCTCGAGAAAATATCTCCTTCCCCCCGTCACTCGACGAGAGAAACATGATATTTCACTCCACACATGAAATATCCTCCATTTATATTACCCATTATTGCTTAATCCATTGATCACGACCGCCGTCTTACATCACCACAATATTGTCGGAATAAACACTAAAAAGTAATTGAATAAAGGTTATTAACATATCTGCATGTTATGTATTACTACAGGTACTAGTTATAGTTACATACATGTAAATGCCATACCAAGTATTAGGTCATATATACAGGGTCGTTGCTAAGTTTTATTAAAATGTTAGCAAACATGTTGCAATGCCTTTTTTTAACACTTATAACGCTTATCAAACACTTATAGCGCTTATCTGACACAGACTAAACGCATACAAGCCCATACAGGATATCTAAAGAGATCAAGGATATCTCATGGCAGAAATCACTACAATGACACTGCAGCACAGTGCTCTACAGACAAGTGGTTGGTTGGTTGGTTGTTTAACGCCGCACTCAGCAATATTCAAGCTATATGACGACGGTCTGTAAAAAATCGAGTCTGGACCAGACAATCCAGTGATTAATATCATGAGCATCGATCCACACAATTGAGATCGATGACATGCATCAACCAAGTCAGCGAGGCTGACCACCCGATCCTGTTAGTCGCCTTTTACGATAAGCATAGTCGCCTTTTACGGCAAGTATGGGTTGCTGAAGACCTATTCTACCCGGATCTTCACGGGTCTACAGACAAGTGCACCATCATTGGGTACCATTACGCCTCTACAGACAAGTGCAGCATCATTGGGTACCATTACGCCTCTACAGACAAGTGCAGCATCATTGGGTACCATTACGCCTCTACAGACAAGTGCAGCATCATTGGGTACCATTACGCCTCTACAGACAAGTGCAGCATCATTGGTTACCATTACGCCTCTACAGACAAGTGCAGCATCATTGGGTACCATTACGCCTCTACAGACAAGTGAAGCATCATTGGTTACCATTACGCCTCTACAGACAAGTGCAGCATCATTGGGTACCATTACGCCTCTACAGACAAGTGCAGCATCATTGGGTACCATTACGCCTATACAGACAAGTGAAGCATCATTGGTTACCATTACGCCTCTACAGACAAGTGCAGCATCATTGGGTACCATTACGCCTCTACAGACAAGTGCAACATCATTGGGTACCATTACGCCTCTACAGACAAGTGCAGCATCATTGGGTACCATTACGCCTCTACAGACAAGTGCAGCATCATTGGGTACCATTACGTCTCTACAGACAAGTGCAGCATCATTGGTTACCATTACGCCTCTACAGACAAGTGCAGCATCATTGGGTACCATTACGCCACAATCAAAAGACATGACTATTCTCTTTGTCATTATAGCTTTTTAGCTGTTTTTATACACCCAAGACACTGTTTATTACGGTTTACAAAAAGAAAGACTTGGCAGAATGATTTCGGATGATAAATAGAATCTCCCCCTCGTTTCTTCGAATATGTCAAGAATCCTCGATAATTGGGAAAATATCCTCGGCAAGCCTCGCGGGTATTTTTAAATGTTATCAACTCGTCTTGAAATAGTTGATCTCGGAAGACACTAGATTCTCTATTTATTTACTGTTATGTTATGGACACGTTGACCTATACATTACCGGTACTTCCCAGTCCCGGGACTAATTACGTCAATAGCACTTTTTCATTTAAAATGTTATCCGAAATTAAGCCCTGGGCCTAATTTCGGAAGCTGACGCTATCTTACCTGAATAGGGGACACCCTTTGCTGAAAAAATCAGAAACTATTATTACAGAAACTTAAAAAATATAAAACATGAATTTTAACTTTGAAAATTGAATCCACATTAGGATTTGCTTCGTGAAGTGCATCGCCACGTATCAACTTTCGAAGGGAGTAGGTTATTAAACATAAATATTAGGGCTGGGACGGGTAACTCAGGTACCTGGGTCGGGTGGGTACTGAGAAGGACCCGGGTACCTCAGGACTACCCGGACCCGTGGTTATAGTCACGTGATATATTGTTTAATGACAAAAATTATCTAGAACTCTATGGTTACACTACAAGTCACTAGTGTTCGCATTTCTTTCTGACTATGCACCCATTCCTTCTGACTTTTCATATGGTTATACTTCAGTGTATGCATGACCAGATCATTGAATACATGTATCTAAATACGTTTTGCAAGTAATGTGGTAAAGAAATTCCCAATCGGACATTTTGTATCTCTTGAAACCTACAGTTGGTACCCGGGTAGGGTCGGGTACTAGGGGGTGGGTACCGGGTAGTAAATTTGGACTCGTCCCAGCCCTAATAAATATCCGAATGTGTGTCCATGAGCCTAACTATTATTTCCGTTTTTAAGCCCATGATCGAGCGTAATAACGCGCGGGCCTTAATACGGAAAGTCCCGGTAGGATGTCTCAGTTTCACGAGATGTGTAACCTTTTTACCAAATGTTTCTGTTTTAGTTACCTATTTTTATTTCTAACATAGTAACAAACTTGTCTCCGTGCAATATGGATCAATATTCACAGGTCAAACCAAGTTCTCTCCCCTTAAACAATGTGACATGTTTGCTCGACAGATGGCAGTGCGAAGAAGAAAGGGGCATGGGCAGGTCATGACGGCAGTAAGTACGACAATAATACCGTATTTTTTTCCTGGACTGTTGTTGTTAAACTTTAATGTTAATTTGGAAGCAATTTAATGTTGTAATTACGCCTCGGAGGAGAGCATCAGCATGTCTGATACAAGAGTTCTGTCTGCTGACTCCGGAACTGGGTTTGGGAAATCAAGGTGTGAGCCAGGTTCCTTCGGAGTACAGCTGTGTTGTTTGAGCAAGCTGGTGCAAGGCAGCGTCGAGTCTTCGTGCATGCAGTGTCTCACGTACGCAAGCGCGACTCGTTTTGTCCAAGTGTTACCATTCCCTTGCAAATTTATTTTGACATGTAATAATCGTCCTTACGTCTATTGAAAGTAATGTGTTGACATATCGACAACAATGTGAAAAAAAGTAACTTGACTGACAATGGGGAAGAATGTTGAGCGTCAGGACATAGGGAATTCAATGTGCAGGCCTATTGATATCATACAATGGTCCACATTGAAATATAAGGTTTTCATTTGTTTTGTTACTCACATAAATGAACTTGTGAATTGAAAATATTTTCTATTTCGTAAAAGATCAGTTGTTTCCCTAACACTACAAGAAACCATTTTGAGCAGATGAATGTGAAAGTAAGCGGACATTACCAGTGCACAGCTTTGAGTTGAAATTGTAATGCATATTGCTCGAATTTTTAGGGAAAGGAATGTTATAAAGTTATAGAAAAATGCCCAACATTATAATTAGAACATCTAGATAAGGTTTAAATAGTATTATATTTGAAAAAAAACCTATTTACTGGGACAGCAGTGTCACCTAGTGTTGAAGAGAACTAGCTCTTACACATAAGTAACCATCTGAATCAACTGAATATTTTTTTTCTTGGCCTTGTTTGTTTTGTAACATCAGATATGAATATGTAGATATGTCCTGCATATCAATAAACATGATAAACTACTGCTTACAATTTAGGTATGTGTTTGTAGGAGTTGGCAACCCTTCCTTTACACACACTTCAGTATGGTCAACACAGGCCGACATAGTGTCTTTTAGTTTTATTATTTGTAAATCCTTGGATACCACACCACGTCTCACTTATCCCCTTTGTACAACAGAAAAGGGGATTGGATGGTTCATGCTCTGTGGCCATTGCGACCCGTGAAGATCCTAGGAAGAATAGGTCTTCAGCTACCAATGCTTGCTAACGGGATCGGGTGCTCAGGCGCGCTGAACTGGTTGATGCATGTGATTGTATCCCAATTGCATGGATCTATGCTCATGTTGTCAATCACTGGATTGTCTGGTCCAGACTGGATTATTTACAGACCACAGACATATAGCTGGAATATTGCTTAGTGCAGCAATAAACAAGAAACAACCAACCTGTCATTGTACTCAAATGATGGGGGTCGATGCTGTATCACTGGTTTGTCTGGTCCAGACTTGATTGTTTACCAACAGCCATTATTTTGCTGGAATTTTTCTGATTGTGATTTTGGACAACATTCACTGACTCCCACCCTCAGAATAACACAAAAATAACAAGATAATATATCTGGTTAATATTCATTCTGCTTACTTGCACATCATGTTTGCTTCTAAAATATCCCTGTTATAATTCAACTGACTTATTTACTCACCAATATCGAGACAAATGGACGGTTTCATGGCTGTCCACTTGATTTAAGACATTCCAAAAATAAAGAAAAACTTTGTTTAGTAATACATTTGACAGTCATGTTTAGGTGACCTTCCTCTTACACTTAGTGTTCAAAAGCTGTTACTTGTCATGCTTGAAAGCACATGACGTATGACGAGATGAATGGATGATCAGCTTCTTTATTACATTACAATTGATTACAATAAACCCTGATTGCTGCAATTTATTGCTTCACCCTTGCCATTGTTGTATGTTTCTTCCATATGTGATCATTTACAGACTGCTCTCATATACCTGGATTATTTCATAGCAGAATGCTGAATATGGCATTACACCACAAACTCGGTTACTGAACTTGCCATATTAAGTCCCCTGCACCAGTAAGCTCCCCATCCACCTTCTAGACTAATCTGTACATACCATATTCGACGTAATAAGCGCCCACGGCGATATTTGCTGATATATTAGAAGTGAACAATCCCAATTAGCACCCCTTCCGATTGATCAATGTACACAAGACTTATTTATTCGTGTATAATGCGCACTCGTGTGTTATATGCACCCTTAATTATGGGCAATTAATTTTTGGAAAATGTATCTGTCGTGTATAATGCGCACAGACTTTTCTTTTGTTTCATTTCAGGCTGTTAACATAAACCATGAAATTTACGATCTTTCAACTCTGTTTTTTTTTTCACCAAAATTATATTTTAATAAGAGCCCCCTTTTTCTAATTTTCAGAGTGCCCAGGCGCTTATTACGTCGAATACGGTAATCTTTATGAACGCCCCCAACTAATAACCAAAATCATACGTGACAGTCTATAATTTCTTGTGTATATAACAGATTTGTGTACTAAAGTGGAATGGGTACAAAATTGGCTATTGAATATTATAGAAAATACTTGGTTTCATTGACGTTTGAACTAGGTTTGTTTACTACAGCTTGATCTAAATTTTACTTGTTCATGGTTTTCATACCGGTAAGCACCAAAACCCCAATTTTCCAAAGCGTCCAAGGAAGCTTCTCATGCTTATAAGGGCATGTACGATACTCATAGACTGATATTTAAGTAATCTTAATAAACCCTCCTTTTTAACTGAAAACATAGCAGAGTGGGAGGAGTATATAATTGCCCAGGGGTTGTCACATGTGGCCAAGCCATACTTTGCTTCCCCCTATGATCGTGGGCTTGAATTCCGGTTTGCCTCGATTATGTTTCTTGAATTGTCAGCACCCTACCCATGCCCATGGCTTTCACTAAAGTGGTATATGTCTGAGACCTGCATCACTAGACCTGCATCGGGCTAGAATAGGTCTTCAGCAATCCATGCTTGCCATAAAAGACTATGCTTGTCATAAGAGGCGACTAATGAGATCGTGTGGTCAGGCTTGCTGACTTGGTTAATGCATATCATCGTATCCCAATTACGTGGATAGATGCTCATGATTTCAATCACTGGACCAGATTCGATTATTTACAGACCGCCGTCATATAGCTGGAATATTGCTGAGTGCGGCGTTAAACAAAACAAAAAAACACTTCGGGCTACCCCCCACATCAAGCTGACACCCCGTGTATTATTGAAATACTCTTCAAAGCAGCATTAAACCAAAGTCACTCACTCAGTATCCAAGTGAATACAGTATGTTTTACTGGCATCAATTGCCTGCCTTTTCAATATTTTTCTCACTTTTGTATTAGAATAACAAATGTATTTCTAGTATCTTGCAACAGTAACCAAGACAACTTTGTTATCAAAGCATGCTACTTTGCAGAAGGATTGATGTGATCATGAAGTGTTGACAGTTAGGTTTGTTATGTCAAAATCTATTTGGACAGGTGAAGATCCAGGTTAGAATAGGTTTTCAGCTATCCATGCTTGCAGCAAGAGGCAATTATGCTTGTCTTTAGAGGCGAGTATGCTTGTCTTTAGGGACGACAGGCTCACAGACTTTGTTAATGCATGTCATTGTATCTCAGTTGCGTGGACGGATGCTCATGTCAATCACTGGATTGTCTGGTCCAACCCAATTTTTCAGACCATCGTCATATAGCTAGACTTGCTATGTGTGGTGTTAAACAACTAAACAGATTCTTCTGATCGACATTTTACATATACACAAGCAAATTTTTATATTTCATCAAAACAAAACAGGACATGTTGTAGACACTATCAAGTACAAGAAAGCGTCATTAGAAACAAATTTTAATCCAATGAAATCGCTTGTTATAACTACGGAAAAAACCCAGGCGATGTTACGAAAGCGTGATTACGAAATGAATGACCGCCGTGTTGTGACAGCAACTACATGTGTGTGACAGTGTCGCCTCATATTGGATTGCCCATTAATTAAGAATATAAACTTCGCTTGTGGTTCTCTTTTATTGCATGCATGCGCTTCTAAGATCAAAGGATGTATAGTGTGAAAAGTTAACTAGTTGAACAATCGTATTTCCGGGACTTGCCGCAGATGTTTTCAAACAGATTATTAGAACTCCATTCAGCTATAAACGGTTGATTATGCAATGAGAAGCGTTATGTGCAAATGAACAACGAACAACAATATAATTATTTCTGTGTAAAACTCTCAGTAATAAAAGTGTACATAAATTTTGGGAGCCATGCGTTACCGCGCGTAGTAACCGAGGTAGCGCTTTATCTAAGAGCGCAATAGCGAGGGATCACTGTATCGTAAAGCTGTAGGCTACTGTATTTGGGGCATTAACGGGAAAGAGTCTAAAGAAGGACCTCTGTGGTATGGTCCCTATGTCCAGTCAAGGTTTAGACATTCTTGTAGGAGTCCTGTGAAACTGAGATCAACTGGAGATGCAGTCTGTGTTTAGAAGATTGACACTAACTTCCATCATAATATACGTTATATAATATAATATATTCAACTGTTTGTATTACGCTCAGTCAAATCAACCTGCATCATATAGAAGCGCTGGAGGGCCAATGTGGGGTCAGCAGGCCAATACAGGTTTAGTGGGCCAATACAGGTTTAGTGGGCCAATACGGGTTTAGTGGACCAATGCGGGTTTAGTGGACCAATGCAGGTTTAGTGGACCAATGCGGGTTTAGTGGACCAATGCAGGTTTAGTGGACCAATGCGGGTTTAGTGGACCAGTACAGGATTTGAGCAAGCCAATACAGCTTTTTCACGTGATCGCATTCCTTACATTGAACCAAGGTGATAGCCTGCTGTCATCACACTTCGTTAGAGCATAGATCCTGTTTTCTTTTGACGGTGCCATTTTTTGGCTTTTTCTTGAGGTCTTTTGCCCGGTGCTACTTGGAAAAACAGTTTAGGTAGTCAAACTGTAAATATGTAATCAAATTGCTGTTTTCATATCAGCTTTTATTGGTCCTTGGTCAGACATATTTGCCCTCGACAGGTTGTATTGCATTGCCTCTGGCCAATAAATTCTGCCTTGGGCTAATAAATTCTGCCTCTGGCCAATATGACTGACCTTAGACCTATAACAAGGCTGATATGTAAACAGCAATATGATAACATAAAATTATCAAATTTGGTTTTGAATGACTTGATCAGCCTGGATTGCCAATTGGCTTGAGTCCTGATAGGATCTGGTTGTGCCGTCACTAGCCCTTTTAGCTAGTGCACAAATTCCCAGCTGCCTTACACTGCTTGATGTTGCTACAGTATTGAAAGAGTATCATCTCACTAACTCACCTTTATTTCCTGTGTTCATCTTGCAGTCATCTGTGAAGTGGTAGTCGAAAGCAACCATGTCATCCGATTCTGCCCCCAGCAGTCGTACTCTGCGCAGTAGAGACCCCTGGGGCGACAAGAAGAGGCCAAAGCGAACACAGCCACTCCGTAAAAGCAGTTAATATATTTTGTAACATTTAAGAATACTTCTTGAGTGAACTGCTGTTGTATTAGATTGGGTTTATATTGCCCTTAGGTATATATACTGCTCCACTTTTGATAAGGATAATTAGTGAGTGAGTGAGTGAGCGAGGTTTTACGCCGCTTTTAGCAATATTCCAGCAATATCACGGCTTGGGACACCAGAAATGGGCTTCACACATTGTACCCATGTTGGTAATCGAACCCGGGTCTTCGGCGTGACGAGCTAACGCTTTAACCACTAGGCTACTTGACCGCCCCGATAAGGATAATTAGATATTTAAGCATTCTGTTTAAACATACACTTGACACATCATGAGAATCAGTTTTGTGTATCATGGAAAATAAAAAAGATCCCTACCAAAAGTGGTGTAGTATAGATTGGCATCTGTCCTGCTGGGATTTGATGTTAAAATGCTATGCTGCTCATTAGAGGTGACCAAATGGATCGGGTGATCAGACTTGGTTGATTGCATGTTCGCGTATCCCTAGAGAGTGGATCGTTGCTCAAAATTTCAATTACTGGATTGCCTGTCCAACTCTATTATTCACAGGTGGCCATCGTGGCTGGAATATTGCTGATTGCAGCATTAAACAACAAACAAATATAGATCTGCATCTCATGCTAGTTGTAAGAGCCGACCAAAATGAAGACCCAGTGGATACAATGTGTGAGATTTGTGTAGGACACGGTTAAGTGTATGTCAATAGTCCTGGTATCAGACTAGTTGCTGGTGATAGCCCAATTTTATCTATTGTCATATTTTATGGTTATGTACTAGTTTTAAACATATGTCTGTGATAATCTAGTTGTTTTACTGTCCTTCGTCGACAGAATTTTATACAGTTTACATATATATCATTAAAGTCAAATTTTGTCTCGTCACGATGTGGCTGCAATATTGCAGATGTGACGTTAAATATTAACTCACTCACTCACTCAGTCCTGGTATCAGACACTGTTCATCACTGTGACCATTCCCAGTCATGGACAGGCTAAATAGCCAGGCATTCCTACCTGACAATGGAATCCTATCTACATTAGTCATGATTTCTGATCTCAGACTCAACTCCACATGGGGCAAATCTTTCATTGTTCCGCCGTTTCCAGACAGTGATTCAGTGATGTACAGTGGTGACTGCAAAATAATTCAAGTGACATAAAGCCAGTCACTCACTCACTCATCATGCTCGTACTTACATCTTTGTTCAGACATCTGTCAGGACAATCCTATGACCATGATGACCCTTTGACATTGGTCGTACTATTATCAGTAGCAAAGCAGGGGTTCATGTAGACCTGCCCTGTTGGGATTCTGTGTCAGAAGCGGTCATCGGTACCCTACAATCACCACCCAGTTAGGATTCCGTGACTGAATACGTCATCATGATCCCCCAAAATCATACGTACAATCACATTCTCAGTCTTATTGATCGGTTATCATGGTAATATTTCATTTGGATGGGTTCAAGTTTTGAACCCAACTGTTACCTGCTGCTATGAGTCTGTTTCTTCACATTCAGAAAGGGGGAATGAATGGCCCAGTCGTCTGTGCCGCAATTTGCTGTGCAGAGTTGCATCCCTTGAGCATGCCAGAAACCTATCATCATGGGTTTGAATCCTGGTTGACCCTGATTATGTTTCTAGGTTTGTCGGCACCATACCCATGCAAGTGGGTTTCACCAAAGTGGGAAACGCCTCGAACCTGCATCACTTTGGGCTTTCCTCACACATTGGCTGACATGCTTTGAAATAACTGGAATTCTGTTCAAATCAGCATTCAGCCCAACTCACTCACTCACATCGAGAAAAGATTTGACATGAGTGACATTTGCTGTAGAAGAATGACAGTAGATTTATGTTTTCTATGATTTCTGTTCCAGCAAGAACTGTGACATCCACAAAAGACAATATGAGCTCAATGATGTCTTCAGGGGAAAATCGTGGTCGATTCCGATCCAAGTTGACGGACACATTGAAACTCAAACTTATAGCACAACACCCACGCAATGCAAACCACAAGAAAACAACAGCAAAGCCTGTTGTTCCAAAGCCAATTGTGAAAAAGAAAAGTCCCCCGAAACCCCCTGTCCTGGTGACTCAAGTGAAAACAGACTTGGAAATTCCTAGCGTGGCGCCGGTGATGCCTGTCAATGGATTATCGGTTGTGAATAATCACCATATACCCAAATCATACATATTACACATTAGTAACCTACCGGTGGATATTACTAAGGAGCAACTTGAAGACCATTTCAGGAAGACAGGTCAGTAAATGTGTAACCACACACCTTGATAGTTCATATTTTTGGATAAGTTTAAAATTAGTCAATTTTACAATAAATTGTACATTTTTATACTTATTCTATCTCACATGCTACATGCCCACCCGTCTATCCCCGCATCTATAGCCTAGTATTATGCTCCAGAAAGAGAAGTTGGCTGGGGAAACCAGTTTTCATCATGTGTGGGTCAACAAGCAAGAAAAGCATGCATGACCCAGATTGCTGGGAGGTAACCATGGTGATGGTGGGTGTGTTTGGGTGAATTGTTTTTGAGAAGTTGGAAACCTTTGTTAGGATCGAAAGAAGGAAGAGAAATGCACAGTTTGAGATAGTGTGAGATAGGATGATTATTATAATAAACAATTAATTGTTAAATTTACAATTTTGGATATTGATGCCATGCCACTCATAAAAGACAGGAAGCCTAACATATCCACAAGAATTACTGTATGGCTTCATGCTTTTGCATTGGAACTCCTCGATTGTATTCTTTTTTGAGATACATATCTCATATAGGCTTGTCTGCTCACTCATACAAGAAGTAAAAGATCTGATTTCATTAAGATCGAAATGAGATGTGCATTTCTGTCTCAACGGTTTCAGTGCTTTCGCAGCATACACAAGCTTGGACAAAATACTTTGTTTGCAGAGGTCAAAATTCCATGTATTTTGGTGACAATGGCACAGTTCAAATCGCAATGGCACAATTATAAGGGCCCACTTATAAATGTTTTTAGACAACAGTACCTTGTGACAATGGTTGTTAATTGATGCCAGAGATTAATGTACTTTTGCACAAGTAAACATGACAAATACATGGGCCTTTATGAAGGTGTGAAGGGTATGATGCACAAAATAGCATTGGGCGTCAGCAATCTCAATGAAGAGGAAGGGAGCAATTTTCTCAAATATCACTATTTATTGTCATTGTCTTGCCTTTGTGAAGTGACATTCACGGAAATAGCAGATGTATTCTTCTAGGTGGCACACTAACATTCAAAAGGGCACACTGACACATCTGACCCGTGCGGATCCGGGGTAGAATAGGTCTTCAGCAACCCATGCTTGCCGTAAAAGGCGACTATGGGTAGTAAGACGCGACTACAGGATCAGGTGGTCAGGCTCACTGACTTGGTTGATGCATGTCATCGTATCCCAAATGCGTGGTTCGATGCTCATGATGTCAATCACTGGATTGTCTGGTCCAGACTCGATTATTTACATACCGCAATCATTTAGCTGGAATACTGACTCTTTATGAGTGCCTTGTGGCACACTTATTAATACATGCATTTATATCCCTCGTTTGATATGAACAAGATCTTCCCAAAAATAGGTCTTGTATACTTTCATCCTATGAACTTGATGGCAGTGTCCTCTGATCATGCAAATGGTATATTCGAATAAAGGATCAGATTAATTTTAAATGAGATATATTTTTAGCTTCATTATGTACTGGTTTCATAGATAATTAGAATGATGAAGATAATTGTATATTTATCAGTTTACGATCAACTTTTAATGTTCTGTTTTTGCAGGAGGGGTAAAGAGTACACGTATTCCAAAGGAGAAAGGAACAGAGAAGGGGCGTGGCTATGCTTATATGGAGTTTAAGGACAGAATAAGCCATGGGGTAATATATGAATTAGACTGACTTTTAGTCCCAGGAATAGTTATCTTAAATATTAAAAAATATATATCTACAAAATAGAAAAAATATATAATGCAAATTGAGGTCTTTTTAGAAGTGATACACACAATCCTTAAAGGAAGAGAATATATAGATGTCAACTTCTGTATTATGAGGAATACAATGTTTCGGAGTACATATGTATATGCTTACTCCTTCATCAGGTGAATGAATGCCATGAGGCAGAGCGCATATATATGTACAGGTAAGGACAACAAAATTAATAAGATAACAAAAGGTGGAAAATAACAAAGGGTAGAAACTAACAAGGGATGCCAACAGATGATTGGTGCTGATAGGTGATTAGCAATAGACAATGGAAGCCAACACTTTACAGTAATAAGCGCTGATAGTATGGAAGCCAGCACTTAAGTATCATAGTTAAGTAATAGGTAATGGGCACTGGGCAAAAGGGAGGGGGTAATTAGCACTGATAGGTGAAAGAATGAACATAGCAAGGGGCAAATTGAAGCCAGCTAGGTAATCAGAACCGACAAAGATCAAAACAAAAAGTCCCAAGCCTCATGGCATTCATTCACCTGTTGAAGGAGTAAGCATATACACTGTGTTCCTCATAATAAAGAAGTTGATATCCATATATTCTCTTCCTTATGCAAATTGAGCTCAGAACATTGCATAATTGCAGGAGCTGAGGCAATCTAGACTTGTCCATTCATTCCAGACTTGACTTTGACACCTTTTTTAATTTATTCTGGGAGACAGACTATGTTTGAATTGATAATACAAGTCAATATTAAGATCAGAGTTAATCCAATCTTACTGATACCTTAGGAAGTTACGATAGTCGTTATCATGTCTATATGTATATTGGCATTTAGAAGTTGCTTCAGGGCTGCCTCTTGCCTCTTCATTTGCCTGATGAAAAGGCAAGAAGTATCCCTGAAACGTTGGGTATGTTTTGTGAAACAGAAATTGTTTTCCATAATAATACTCACTGTCAAAGAAAAGGATGTTCAATATCATCACTGTCATGATTGTCTAATTTTATTTTGTTGGTAGGTTCCACATGTTGGAACGAATTCACGAATGTTCAGCCAGTAAAATCCTATACAGTTCACCTGGCTGTTGACACATTACAAATTTAACAAAGATTATTTTCATTGAAATATTTATGTGTTACATCATTGAGCAATGAGAGCAATGTATTGCTCAACAGAGAACTTTATTGCTTGTCAAAACAGGCGACCAAGTTGAATCAGGTGGTCAGACTTAATGACATTGTTGATGTGACATCGTACCCTGACAGAGTGCGATGTTGTCCATAACAACCACTAATTTGCCGGTGGTTTGATTCCCGGCCAGGTCATACGTTAAAAGATGGTAGTTGTTGATATGCTGCCTGGTGCTTGACATTAGGGGGATAAAACAAGGCCAGGTTGGCTTGGAGTCTGTATGCTGTGTCTGAGTGGGGTATCCATGTTAAACTGTGACATGGATACTATGACAAGCACTATGAAGCCAGCATTAGTTTGGACTAATACAAGCAGGCACACACATACATGCGCATTGCAATATAAGTACAATAATCTTGGAGGTGAGGTTAAGCCTCGCCTCGCCTCACCTCACCTCACCTCACCTCACCTCACCTCACCTCACCTCACCTCACCTCACCTCACCTCACCTCACCTCACCTCACCTCACCTCACAGCAGCAGGCTTCCTGACATAACTATTGAAGACACACAAACTGTCTCGGGTTTCTTTTCTAAAGGATAAGTATATATTTCAGATTGCTCTGCGTCTACACCAGACCAAGTTAGCAGGTCGGAGAATCAATGTGGAGTTCACACCATTAGCAGGAAAGAAGAAAGACAAACTGAAACGGAGACTGCAAGCCCTCTCACGACCTAAATCATCCCCCGAGAAAACATGATCATCAACAATCGTTCACATCATTTACCATCGTTGCTGTGTGGTCATTCTGAAACCATTGTCTATACCAGATGCCTTCAGCGGAGAATCTGGGTAGCTGTCTGTCAGTGTTTATGTTGTTATATTATTGGTTAGATTATGTCTCATTTGTTACAAACAGGATAGTTTGTGTTAGAATCGTTTAGTTGTTAATACAATGGGTCAATTAAAACAATGGGGACCTAGAAAATCCCACAGAATCCATTCTCTTAATTTCAGACATAGGAGCTACACAAGTCTTTAAGAATGTCACGATGTTAAACAGTTATTTTGATCCCATTCTATCAATATTTGATTTGTGATATAGACACTCAGCCGAGGCAGTATCCAAGGGAGATAACTGAGTGGTAATTGAATTACCTCCCTTTAGTCGCACCTGCTTTTCAGATGGGTGACAGACAGCTACACAGGTGGGTTTCATGCAGTCATGTTGGGTACTTCATTAATTCCCATAAACATTGTATATGTACTGATATTTTGTAAATATCAGTTTTTATGTAAATATTATTTGATGTCTTTATAAAATTTGATATTTATGGTCACTGAGTCTGTTGGTAGTAAATATTCATATTTTGCAACAATCATTGATATTGTCTGTTACTACTGCAGTAGACCTAAACATTAGAACAATCTCAATGAAATCAGATCTTTTACTCTATGTGGGTAGATCTGATGACACCTAACAACTGGAGGGTCGCGTCAGTTCTTTTTTACCACCAAATATGCAAGAGATACGTGGGGTTTTAAGACAATAAGATTTCAACTTTCATGGGTTGCTGAAGGCCTGTTCAACCCCAGATCTTCACCGGTCTGCAATGCTAAGGATGCCCCCTTGAATCAACCTCCTATGGCGGTGTTTTAAGGACTTCACAAAGAGAGGTACCGTATTGGAGGAAAAGATCTGATTTTAAGATCAGATTGAAATTAGATGTGCATTTCAGTCTCGTCTGTGTTTCAGTTCTTTCACAAAGCTTAGACCAAATACTATGTTTGATATGAATAGGATATTTTTGAAAATAACCTTTTTATGTTTCAGTTCAATACTAGAAGCCTTGATTTCAAAATATTTGATGTTATGTGTTATTAATTTATATCATGTTGTTTGTTGCAAAGATATTTAAAACTAAAACAAGTTTTGACTATGTTTAAACTATCAATACAAATCTGATGTGTTAAGATTTATGAAAAACTCACTATTTATATACCTGCTTTACAACATGCTGTAAATTGCTGTTTCTGTGTAAATAATATAAGACTATTTATAAAACTGTTCATCGTAGGTCAACTATTTCGATGTTATTCTCATGCTTTGGAGTGTTTGACAGTGTAGGTCACTAGTTGTCCAGTTTAACAAGCTTTTATGATTCACTTCAATGGTCACGTATGTGTTGGGTAAAATCTATTGAAGAAGTTTTCAGATATTTGAAGTTGCTTAAGCTACAAAAAACATTAAACATGTTCCTTCTGTTCAGGTCAATATGGAACGTCAGTCCTCAAATAGTATGATTTCAGTTTCTTTTACAAATCTTTAAGCAAGAATATATTCATCCAATATTAAGTAGGCACTTTTTTCAAATGCCAGTGTTTTGTTTTGTGAGGTCATATGTACATTAGCAATGTATGGAAATATCTATCTGATTAAGATGCGATTCTGTATGAAGTATTTGGCCCATCTGTTTGTTCATACAGTCACTTTGGTGACTGTTGTAACGTGGGATGTCTGCAGTGAATTGTCCCCAAACTTTACTCCTTGCCTTACCTTATCACATAGGTCTGGGTGGGAAAGGTAATAAAGACTTGGAATGAAAATGGATATTTGGATACAGTGCTGATATTTCAAGATGCATGCGACAAGACAAGTGGTCAGTCTTTTACTGCACTGCTGCAATTCGCTATGCAGAGTTGCATCCCTTAGGTTTCCGAGAATGCTATGATTTTGGGTTCAAGTTTTAAATTTGCCCGTTTTTGATTGTTGGTTTTTCAGCACCATACTTGTGCTTTTGGTTTTCAACTTAGTGGTAGAGGTCTAAGACCTACACAACTTTGAGGTTTCCCCAAACACACATCGGCTGACAAAAGGACAATAATGATAGGTGAAAAATGAAGATTGGTTATTTCTCAACACACCAGAGGAAGGAACCCCATCCATCTGTCATGCCACCATATATCTGAAAAAAACGGTTAAAGCAGTGTTAAACCCCACCCTGATTTGAAAGACATGTAATTCTCAACAGACTGAACCTATTACTACAGACCATTAAATCCTGTGCCACCTGCACTGATGTAGCAATACAATGCCAGCTATGACATGGGAGACCCAGTCCCACTTCTCCAAGGGCTGCAATTCGTTGTGCAGTGTTGCATCACTGAGGCACTCCAGAGTCTGTTCGTTGGTTCGAAACCCAGATTCTGCCTGATTGTTTCTTGGTTGCTCGTGGGTTTCATCAAAGTGGTAAACATCACTTTTGACTTTACTCCCACATCAAGCTGAAACTCCTGCGTATAAATGTAATACTGTTTAAAACAGCCTTCAACCCAACTCAATACCATGTAGTCATATTTTAGGCTCTGTCTAAAATTTGAGGGCAGATACTGCTAATAATGAATTAAGTTGCCACAGATTACAACATTGTGTACATTTAGTGGGGAATATTTGAAATGTATCATGTACATGCTGGTGCATGTAACTGTGCCATGATAATGCAGCATGGTGATTTGTTCATTCATGACATGTGCTTTCCCTTGAGAACCACTTTAGCATGTGAAGAGCCTGGTGAAAGTGATTACTTCAATGTTGTCTTGCTTCTCACAAGTAGTGTTCAGTGCCAGAGACTGAACTAGCATTAACATTCAAGCTGTTTATTCATCTGACGTGTGGGTATCGGCAGTTGGGAGAATTACAATAGTCATCATGTTAATGTTAAATCTGTCATGTTGCCTGAATAAAATTGTGAAATAACCAAGCTCCGTTTTTTTCTCAGTCACTTGTGGTAGGGATGAAAAGGCGGATAGAGGGTCTGCCTGGAGCGAGGTAGGGCGGTGGTTCGGACCCACTTTGCAGAGTTACGTCCCTTGGGTACGCCAGAAACACATGATTGTGGGTTCGAAACCGGTTCGCCCCGATTATGTTTCTAGGTTTGTCAGCACCATACCCGTGCTCGTGGGTTTCACCGAAGTGATTAACGTCTGAGACTTGCATCACTTCGGGCTTTCCTCCCACATTAAGCTGACAGGCCGTGATATAACTGGAATACTGTTAAAAGCGGCGTTAAACCCAACTCACTCACTCACTAGTTTACATAGATACTCTGGCCAGTACATCAACTTCGTTTTGAGTTGTATTCGAACAGCGTGATGTCAAACATGACCGAAAACTAAAGTTACTCATGAGCGGGAGAAATTCGGTGGGCCGATGAGAGATGAATGTGGTGGCACCAATTCATGGACAAAGCCGTGGTGGTATTTATTATAATAGAATGGGGATATGATGTACTGGACCATCCATGGTGCCATGACGTGGATTTGTCTTGTCCAGGACTCGTCCCACAAAGCGATCGCAGCGCTACGACTATCATAAGTCTATGTTAAAGTATGGGAGTTACGATCATCTTAGTGTTACGATCACTTTGTGGAACGGGGACCAGTTTCTGTGCAGGATGTCGTGAATTAAAGGACCAGTTCAAAAAGTCCGGTGTCGGATAATTTTGTTTTTAATTCCTTCAGTTTTGAAACATACCCACCTACACTGAACATTGAAAGGCCACTAACGGGATCGGGTGGACAGGCTCGATGACTTGCTTCATGCTTGTCATCGTATCCCAATTGCGTGGATCGATGCTCATGATATTAATCACTGGATTGCCTGGCCCAGACTCGATTACTTACAGACCGCCGTCATATAGCTGGAATATTGCTGAGTGCGGCGTTAAACAACCAACCAACACTGAACATTGGAAGAACGGGTAAGTTTGTTTTTTTCGGATGGAACACTTGCAGGGCCATTAACGTCCTAAAAAAAAATTAAGGAATTTTTATCCCACATCGAACTTTTGAACAGGTTCCTGACTCAAATTTTATGAATCAATCAATAAGTGATAAAGATGTTAGATGTGCACAGAATGGGACATTTCTGTGTATGAAAGTTTGTGAAAACATGTAATACTTTCAAGTCTTTGAAGGCATTTAGAAGTGATACACACGAGGAAGAGAATATATGGATATAAACTTCTTTATTATGCTGTCCATAACTGTCAGCGCTAATTACTGAACAGTGTTGGCTTCCATTGTCTATTGCTAATCGCATATCAGCGCCAGTTATCTGTTGGCTTCCCTTGTTAAGTTTCCACCTTTTGTTATCTTATTACTTTTGTTGTTCTCACATGTACATATATATGCTCTCTGCCTCATATCATTCATTCACCTGATGAAGGAGTAGGCATATACTCCGAAACGTTGTGCTCCTTATAATAAAGAAGTTGACATCCATATATTCTCTTCCTTATGGAATACTTCGTTTGGGGAAAAAACAGTGAACACTAGTCTATATAACCGGGGCCTTTAAACAATCGTGCCGTTAACCAGTGGTTCATATTACTTGCCATGTCCCACTCCGTCCCAGTAAGATGACCCGAGGCAAGGGAGTTAACTGAGTACAAAAGTTTCCTTGACTTTTGCGGCCAGTTACCTCCCTTGCCCCGGGAAGATGGTTAATGTAAGCTATACAATGTATGCATACTTGAACATAGGTACCATGTAACTATGGATATTAACCATCTTCCCGGGGCAAGGGAGTTAACTGGCCGTAAAAGTTAAGGAAACTGGACTTTTGTACTCAGTTAACTAAATATACCAGTATATATATATGCTTCTTGGCGTGTGACAGCCCTGCCGAATGGGTTATTATCACAAAGCTTTCAACGTACATGTATCTCACCAATACCAAATATATGCATTTCATGGCAATAAATGCGATTACACACATACTATCTCTTCATGAGACAACTGCCCCATTGAGGCCACGGTTAAACTTCTAGGCACTCTATTGCCTTTCAACGTACCTCGTCGTGGAACGATTGCTCATTATATCAATCTCTGGATTGTATGGCCCAGACATGAATATTTACAGACCGCTGTCGTATAGCTTGAATCTTGCTGTGTGCGGCAACAAACAAAAAACATTCGCACATTTACATATACACAGCAGATCAAATAAAGAAGACTGTAATGTATTTAGAATTTATTAAATGAAAGTATATTTACAAAATAAATACAAAATGTACATTCATTCAACACACATATAAGTTTAAGTACATATCATTTTCAGTTCCTGAAATAAAACAACAATCATGATTGATACAAACGTGGTAATGCATCTCTCAAATCGTCATTGATACAAAAGTGATAATGCATCTCTCAAATCATGAGTGATACAAAAGTGATAATACAGCTCTCAAATCATGATTCTCTTCATGAGAAATGTTACTTATCACGTGTCAAGTCCTGGAAGCAAAATAGAGTATAGAAAGATATAAAACCTATATACATCTAGCTTAGGGGTAGTAATTACTACTCATGGGTATTTGGTTGTGTGAGTGAGTGAGTTGGGTTTAACGCCACTTTGAACAGTGTTCATAACATTGCGTATGAGCTTAATGTGGGAGGACAGCCCGAAGTGATGCAGGTCTCGGACGTTTACCACTTCGGTGAAACCCACGAGCACGGGTATGGTGCTGACAAACCTAGAAACATAATCGGGGCGAACCAGGATTCGAACCCACAATCATAGGTCTCTGGCGTGCCCAAGGGACGCAACTCTGCACAGCGAATCGCGGCGCCTTAGACGACTTGGCCACCCGTGCCCCCTTTAAACTGATGGTAAATGAAGATAGATATTAGCAGTTATCACAACCCACATGTTCTGTATGTAAACTTGGTAAAGAAGATGAATATAATTTTGTCTTAATCTGTAATTATTATGATGGCATCAGAGAATATTACTTGCCGAAAAAATATGTATGTCTATATCCAACCCTGAATAAGTTACAAATGCTATTATTTGGAAATTGTGATTATTGTAAAAAAAACTATGTAAATTCGTGTCGCAAAGCTATGCCAAGAGACAGATAATTATAAACGCAGGATGTGAGTGAGTGAGTGAGTATCGTTTTACGCCGCTTTAAGCAATATTCCAGCAATATCACGGCGGGGACACCAGAAATGGGCTTCACACATTGTACCCATGTCGGGAATCGAACCCGGGTCTTCGGCGTGACGAGCGAACGCTTTAACCACTAGGCTACCCGACCGCCCCAAACGCAGGATGTGTTGAAGTTTGTTGCATATATTTACGTAAGTGTCCTGTATATTGGCCAGTGGCCTTCATACGAAATAAGGACCTGACTTGACTGGAAATACATGTCATTGCAAATATTTACATAGTTCTTTACGCTGTTGACGTTGTAAACGCCAGCAGTAATATATACAGGGTAACAAGCACAGTAAGATGACACACAACATATATCTGTTACACGAGTAAACACACATCTGTAACATTGACCTTGACCGCACAGAGATGCGAAAACTATACAGAGACCTCCGATAAGTAGCTGCCAGAAACTCTCGGGATGCATCACGTGGAGCCGGTTCATGACAACTCAAAATACAATTGATTTACAAGCACAACTTCAGCCCATCAAGCAGAAGATTCAGTCCCAAAAAGGTCACAATATTTCATACAACTGTAAAGTGTCACATAACGATAGTATGAAAGATTAAGGAATTATTACACGTAGATGTGTGGTGGGAAGTTATGAGGTATATCATACGTAGAGCCGTGTCATCCTAGCTGGCGTGAGTGAGTGAGTTGGGTTTAACGCTGCTTCGAACAGTATTTCAGTTACATCACTGCGTGTCAGCTTGGTGTGGGAGGGAAATGGTGAAGGTCGTAACGTTTACCACTTTGGTGACACCCACAAGTACGGCATGGTGCTGACAAACCTTGAAACATAATCAGGACTAACCCACGATCATAGTTTTTTGGGCGGCCTTAGGGACTTGGTTCTTCACAACGAAATGTGGCACCTTAGACGATTGGCCATCCGTGCCCCAACATTACCAAGCTAGATAACGCATGGGGATCAGTTCATCACCACACATCCAACACTTATTTGGTTCCTCACTTTGTAACATTATTCTTAGTTTATTCACAGTCCCATGAGACACACAAACAGGACCACAGCACACAACACGAAGCTGCCCCTTGACGTCACTGCTGCACGACTTCCGGTTAGCTCTGCTTCTGTTTTTTCCACAAGGTCCTCCTCAAATCCTTTCAGATTCTCCGTAAGAGATTCATCCAGGAATATGTCTTCCTTCGTGTGACCCCTCGTATCCCTCTGGGCCAATGTGGTCTGGTTGGACTTTTTCAAAGTTTTGTTGACATCCATCGATGATTTGGGTGACATGGTGCTTGCATGAAGCTCAAGGAAGTCGGTGAGTTGTACGTTCTTGTGATGTTTGGTGTGCTTAGCAGTCGATCCATTGGTGTTTCTGTTTCCGTTATCAGAGACTTCTTTATCACTTACTGTCTTATTTTGCGTGTCGGTCTTATTCCAGGAACTATTGTCGCGCCAGATGTACGGGAGGGTGGTTTGTCGAGTTCCCGAGTGGGTCAATGGAATTGTAATATTTCGTTTCATAACAGTCGTTGTTTGTTTATATTCTGGTTTTGACAGTTTTGTTGATGTTGTTGTCGTTGATTTTGTGACATGTACGGATTTGGTAGTTTCCGTTTTCTTTCCTGTGGTTTTTAAATCTTTGATTTGCTGTATGATGTTGTCAAGGCCCATAGAAACGTCCTTCTGAGTACTCTTCTTACTGTGATCTACATCATTGCTAGTAACGCGAGGAGCCTCCGTTTTGCCTCCCTTCTTGCCCTGACTACCTTCTTCCAAAGCAACACCATCATTTTGTGAAGTACTATTAACTTTAGGCTTTGATTCATTAACCTTAGCTTTTGCTGCAGCAACTTTATCAGCGTCCTGGGTTGTCTTGGTCGTGTTGGCCCTGAACGTTTGGATGAGACCCTCTTCTCTATCTTCCTCTACGATCATATTGGACATTGGTACTTCGTCTTCTCTCAATTCCTCTCGCTCAAGTTCTTCCTCAATAGCACTTCTGGGCCAGATCACCACCCCGTCAGATCCTCGTCCAATTTCGCCAAAAGGATCCACCTCAAACTCCTCTTCATACAAAGGTTCAGAGTCATCGTCGTCAAGGAAACGGGCATCGTTTTGTTCCTTCCTCTCAGCCTCGTAATCTTTAGTGTTATCATAGTTCGGATTCAGACCATGTTCGTAGTTTTTTCTGATACTTTCTTTCGTCAACATCTCTTCATGTTTAGTTTCTGCAAGAGCAAGATCAATACTTGCGACGTAATCGTTAGCCTCCTTGCTTGGCATGCTTTCCTCCTCAGTCTCACTTACAGTGTAATCTACAACTTTTTCTTCATCCTTCTTCGTCTCAGACCCATCGTCTTGAGAGTAATCAGCAACGAATACCTTCTCAGCAGCAGCCATTTCTGTCAAAGATATACCCGAAACATCAAAGTCGTTCTTGTTCTGTACAGAGATACTTGTCTTCATCTGGTCTGCCACAGAAGTGAATTTATTACCAGGGTTCGATGTAATATGGTTGACAGCCAACTCGGGTCTAGTGTTGGCCTGGATAGCATTCAAGTCTTTACTAACCATCATTTTCCTGTTTTCACCCACAGCCTCAAGACGTGACCCATTAGCTTTCTTCTGCATGCCAAGTTTCAGCATCTCGGTGTTCGAGTTTCCCTTCTTTACATTTGCAGCTTTTAGAGGAGTCGGGGTAACAATGAAGGGGAATTTCCTTGCCTGGGTGCTGAAGAATCCTTGACGTTTTGTTGCGAGCCACATTTCTCGTCTTGGCCCGGACTTGATATTGCTTGCCCCTTTAAAGCTATGGCTCTTGTATGGTCTTCCGAGAGTGTCGTAGTTTTGAATTGGTGCGTACCCACCCTTGTAGTCCCGTGGGGGTATTTCCTCCCCGGCGTAGCTGACGGTTGGGAGGTGGATGGGGCTGGGGTTCCCGCTGTTACACAGGTCAGTTGTGCACGACTCGTAACATGTGATGAGTTTGGAATCCTGGATGCAGAGGTTCCCACGAGGAACGTTGTCACAGAGTCTGGCAAACGACTTCACTCGACCAGTTTCTGAAGAGATAGATTTAATACAATGTAAGAGGCATAAACCATTATAATTTTGTGCATTATATCTCACTCTATTCAGATACACTGTCAGGCAAATGAAAGTCTCCACCAACCTTTGACGGTGGCTAAATAGGAACAACAAGACAAGAAATGGTCATTGGATGGTGATGTATTTGATACGGGCATCATGGTCATAGATGTTTTGGACGTGATGTTTGCACTGTTGCAAGTGTATATCTCCCCGCCCCCTACCCTTCCGCTCCCTCGTCCACATTTCCCCATCCCAATTTGTACTGTTGGACCAAGGATCATATTCGAATCGAATCCACGATAGCGGATCCTTGCACGCTAAGGCACGCTTCTTTGCGGCGCATTAAACCACTCGGGTCCGTAGTCCATGATGTGTATGTGTTGTCAAGGCGTCGGTGTACCCCAGACGTGAATACATGTTAACGTATCATATATATTTAAAATTTAGAATTGCTTGACAGTGAGAGAGTGAGTGAGTTTGTCTATACGGCGCTTTGAACATTATTTAAGTCATAAAACGGCTTGTCAGCTTGTTGAAGGAAAGCCCGAAGGATGCAGGCTTCAGACGAATCCCACGAGCATGGGATGGTGCCGACAAACATAGAAACATAATCAGGGAGATTCGAACCCACGAATGTGTTTCAGTCACGGCTTAGGGACGCAACTCTTAACAGCGAATTGCTGCGCCTCAGACGACCGTACCCAAGCTCCTTCCCAGCGCGTGACACCTTCGTTACATTCTCCGTCACATCGCTGCCACCAGTGTGGGCGCGGCCATTACAAGAATCTTGAACTTTGCTCTCTAAGCCCAAATGTAAAAACGTTTATACTTGATCAGATTGGTTCGAGATTGCGGACGAAAGTGAAGATCAACCAACTCCCCCCTTACATTCTTACTATACCAATAACATGATGGTTGAAATGAAATAGAAATTAAATATGACAAAGAAAGTAATTAAGCTGGAGTAAGAGTATTCGGCGTCACGGCAGTCATCACTTGTTTGTAAACATAACGGTCAGTCGGTTGCGAGATCAACTCCAAGCATGGTTGTGGCCACCCATCACAGTGGGGAGCTTTGACTGGCGGCAGCGATAGTAAAGAGAGCTTCGAGAACGGGATATCGCTGTGAGGAGCTTGGACCGGACCACCTGTCACCGGATGCTTGACAAACACCTGTGATGTGTTTTTTGTTGTCATGAATAAGTTTGCTGATACATTACAATCTTTTTAAGTGTTGTACAGTATATGGCTGATTATATATGATACGGGTTATGAGTGAATAAGTAGGCCAGTTTTACGTGCTCTATGCACAGCTACATGATACTGTTTGTGATGTCAGCTTGATATCACATTGTATGTACATATGATATACAGGTAGAGCGTGTTTGACAAACAAGAATGTACAGCATTATTTATACGTTTATTTCGTGTGCATGTAAGAATGTCATGTTTGTGTGTTAATGTGTGTATGTATGGATGTGTGCGGGCGGGCGGGCGTTCGTGCTGGTGTAACACCTAAATCAAATGTATAATATTTTTTATGATATGTTACAGTACTTGTTTCATCTTATTCTATAATGTCATGCAACATGCGTATTGTGCCTGTCGACCCGTGAAGATCCGGGGTAAGAGGCGACTAACGGGATCGGGTGGTCAGGCTCGCTGACTTGGTTGATGCATGTCATCGATCCCAATTGCGTGGATCGATGCTCATGATATCACTGACTGGATTGTCTGGCCCAGACCGCCGTCATATAGCTGGAATATTGCTGAGAGCGGCGTAAAACAACAAACAAACAAACAAAAAATATGCCTGTAGGTTTGACCGCATTTCGGTTATTTCTGAACGTACCTGCATCGATGACCTTCGCGGACAGACAGAAGTTGGCCCTGCAGTTGAGGTAGACGGGCCCGGTACGGACTGCATAGGGTCGAGTCTCACACTCCCTGTCGTCCCCCACACCACTGCACCAGTAGCACATCACGGACATACAACCTGGAGAAGAAGCACCACAATAATTCAACAATGTGATACAAGTGTATTGAATGAAGGCGCTTATCAATGCATGTCGGACACCGCCTTTATATAAAGAACGAAATGAATTGTTCGATAGCTATTACCTTGAAGTTACGAATGACAAAGTTGACACAATTTATGGATAACAACTTATTTACTGTAAAGGCCACTTGACCTTACTTGACAACGGTAAAGGGATCGCCTTCACAGTAAATAAAGAAGTTGTTATCCATACATTGTGTCTACTGTGTAAAGAAAGAAATGTCAACATATATCAGTGGATCAACTACGATTGAAATACATTGAGGGGCGGTCGGGTAGCCTAGTGGTTTAAGCGTTCGCTCGTCACGCCTAAGACCCGGGTTCGATTCCCGACATGGGTACAATGTGTGAAGCCAATTTCTGGTGCATAGATATCTGGGGGCTTTTAAAGTAAATCTTTGTTTCCCCTCGTCCAGAAATATAATACCTCAGTACAGGTGTTTATACCCCTGGATGTACTCTTTGGTATATCCTTTAATATACATGTAGTGTTCATTGCAAGTCCTAAAGACATTTTGTTCTGGGTCTCTAAAGACTCCACATTTCTAAGAAAGACAATGTAAACTGCCGGGCAAAAGTAAGCATATACACGTTTGATGGTTGCAGTGAAATCAATAAGAAATGGTCATTCGATGGTGATGTATCTGAGCCTCAAGTTTGCAGTGTTTCGGCGACTGTTTTCAACCTAGTAACTTTTTTATAACATTTGTAATTATTTGGACAAATGCAAATTTCAAGTGTATTCTTTCTTTTGATCGGCAGCTTATGTCTTGAAGAAGAAAATTATTCTGTTTCTAAAACAAAATCCAAGATGACGTAATTTTATCAATTAAGAATTGACTTTCACTTTGTGTGAGTTCGAGGGAATATGTACCTTCATAGAGTGAGGCCCAAACTGTATGAACGGAGCTTGCCTCCGGGGATGAAGCGCTAAACCTATAGGCCGACGTATGGCTTGTTTACACTGACAGCCAAACAACAACCAGTTGTATCGCGGAATAAAATAGTTCCCCCAAAAGAGAGGTGACATTAGCGTATGTATGCTCAACTTGCTTTACAGGTTTACACAGATTGGCGTCAAGAAATTTCTATAATATCATCATTGGGTGTTAAGAACTACCTCAGTAAGTCAGTCAGAATGACAGCGCGTCGTAATATATTTACATCAACTATAAGATCATTGAAAGGTGACTAGAAAGATGTGTCAAATAAATACTAAGGTACATTCATAGATTTCTGTAGACTGTAACTGTCAGTCCAGACACGGTTCTACGCTAGTGGATGTTCATTTCTACGTTGTGTTTACAAGGATGGGTAGTAGCGAGGATATTCGTGAACGATCATGCAGTCAAACTCTCTGACTTTTCTCAATGTTAACGATTTCACGATTAAAGGGTCTAAAGTATAAGAAACAACGCTTTTGCATGTATTCGTGCAAGGGAATTCCCACGGGTTTCCCCAGTGTGGATGTTGTCCGTCAGTGTTTGCGTCATTTAAATAATATTGTCTCAAAGTCAAATTGTGTCGTTCATACGTTTATGAACGTCAGTTTCGCGGCCTCTCTTCCACGAAAAGCTGTATATCGTGTAAACTTCAAATTAAAAAATTATTTTGTTATGTCATGTGGTATTATTCTCAATAACGAAGCAATGTGAAGTCACGTCGCCTCATCGGACTAATTTGCATTCGCTTAAGTTCACATATGAATTATCGGAAAGTCATGACACTTTATCGTTCCACTCGTATGGAGAATATTTTCTATTAGATAATACTAGTGACACTGGCCAATGACGGAAATAAAGAATTGACTTGATTATTATATTTGTCTGAGTCCGAGAGACACAGAGGCCAGTGTTCTGTAACAGATTGTGTGGTCAGTACAGTGTCTTTCAGCATAGGGACATCCCTCAATAAGATACAGTGAGTGAGTGAGTGAGTGAGTGAGTATGGTTTTCCACCGCTTGTAGCAGCATTGCAGCAATATCACAGCAGGGGAACCAGAAATGGGCTTCACACATTGTACCCATGTGGGGAATCGAACCCGGGGCCGGGTCTTCGACGTGACGAGCGAACCACTAGGCTACCTCACCGCCCCTATAAGACAAAGGGCAGCACTGTTACCAGTGGGTGGATCACTGTATTGACAGTAAGTTATTAATGACAAACTTCATGACACATACACATGTAGGACAGACGTTGCCATTATAATGATTATATTGTATTTGACACTTATGAAATGTCAAAAGATGTTCAAGAAGCAAAACTTTGTTGAGGTGAGGTGAGGTGAAATGGGGTTTAACGTCGCGTCCAAGATTATTGCATTTATATAGCGACGTGCATGCACGTGTGTGTGTGTGTGTGTGTGTGTGTGTGTGTGTGTGTGTGTGTGGCTGCTTGTACTAGTCCGGACTGAAGCCGATTTATAGTGCTACCAGACTGAGATACCATGCCGCAATTTAACATGAATACCCCAATCAGACACAGTATACTGACTCCGAGCCGACCAGTCCTTGTTTTAGCCCCTTAGCGCCAGACATGGTAACGACAAGTACCATCTTTTAACGTCTTTTGTATGACGCGGCCGGGGATCGAACCCCGAACCTCCCGCTCTCCGGGCGGAAGCTCTATCTCTAGACCACTGAGGCGGTCTACTTTGTTGAGTATTTGGTGACTAGCATCTTACCACGATAGTAATATATACAGCAAATTTCATTCTTTGTTGTTTAAAGCCGCTGAATTTTCCAGCCAAATGACGGCGCCCCGTAAACAATCGATTTTGAACCAGAGAAGCTGGTGATTGATATTATGAGCTAAGCCCCAAACCACCGGGTTACGATGACATGCAATCAACCAAGTCACCGAGCCTGACTATGTCCATTTATCGCCTCCAACAAGCATATGGTGCTGTGGGACATTCTCATCGCCCGGAATCCCCACTTGGGCAATGTATCAATAACACGTCATGTTGACAACACAGCAACAACACACATGTATTGTGGTTCTACAGATGCATGAGGTCTCAAAGTATTTGTTTGTTTGTTTGTTTGTTGTTTTTTGCCGCACTCAGCAATATTCCAGCTATATGACGGTGGTCTGTAAATAATCGAATCTGGAACAGACCATCCAGTCATTGACACCATGTGCATAGATCTACGCAAACTTGGATACGATGACATGCATCAACCAAGTCAGCGAGCCTGACCACCCGATCCTCTTAGCATGGGTTGCTGAAGGCCTATTCTCAATCCGGATCTTCACGGTTCGACACGGGAAGTGAGAAAGTAAGGTAAGCTTGCGTTAAGTCTTGATAAACCACTAAACACTGCTGAACCGAGTTAAACAGAATCCTAATATATCATTCAAACATTAGAGTCAGCTAACTAGAATATGTAGGATTTCCTGATGCTTGTTCATCTAAAAAACGGGGGCGGTCGGGTAGCCTAAAGGCTAAAGCGTTCGCTCGTCACGCCGAAGACCAGGGTTCGATTCCCGACATGGGTACAATGCGTGAAGCCCATTTCTGGTGTCCACCGCCGTGATATTGCTGGAATATTGCTAAAAGCGGCGTAAAACCATACTCACTCACTCATCTAAAAACATTACAGCCATTGTATATACAAGCAGCTGGATTTCGAAACTAACAAAAACTGTCCTAATATCTAAAACTTAACAAATTCATCTTGACCATCATCTCACTGGGCCTATGCCCAGTATCAATACATCCAACTATGTCCACCTCCACCCAATCCTCCATAAACAACAGCCGCACTACGGCGTCAGGTGTAAATTGACAACGCACCTCCTACGTCTCGAGATTTCCTCATATCCTTTTTTGGTACTTTCAGTGCCAAAATGGTCTTACTAGGATTTGTGTATATCCTCATTGAGGGAAGTGTTCCAGGAATTAATTCCAGATACAACGTACACCTGCAAATAGAGACAATGTCATCTTGAAACGGATTAACTGCCAAGGAATCAGATTACGGCGGATTCCCTGAAACAGTGGTTAGAATTATCATGGATTAGCGACCACTTATCGGGGCACATGTGCGGGGCGGTCTGTTCGTGATAAAGACAGTCCCAAAAACAGCTTTGGAAGTAATCGCCTGTTATAAGTTGGGAATGGTTACATCCTTTTCTTAAGCTGTACCTTTTTTAAACAAAAATGCTGAGTTTGCTGTTTAAGAATTTCATTGTACCTCAAAGTAAAGTGACAAGGATTGACGATCTGAAGACGACAAGATCGATGCCCAATCAACGCCCATAAAAAAAGATCTTGCCGCGATTCTTTAACAGTGTTTCGGTTAGTTTATTGACAATCCATATCAAAAACCGAGTTTGTGCAAAACATCTTCATAAAAAAAGGTAGTTTTGAATTTTGTGCATGGCTTATTATTCGAGTCGCCCTTGAACATTCTTAAACATTACGAGTATGCAATTGGATGCTGGCTATTCCGAAAGTCGAATGTATCCTCAAAGAATGCATCCACAAAGATCTTTGAGAGTCCAAGGCACATTCCTAAACCCTCACTGGTCAGTTGCCCATACATTAACATGGAATTGGTCAAGCATTTTTGATGACGCACGTTTTTGTAACGTTCAAGGTGAAGGACACCAACAATACAACGTGTGTGAACAATTTAACATATGAGAGAGCAGTCACAGTTAGCTTTGATCTTTATTGTCGTAAAGTTGATAGCGGCAGCGGAGTTATTATTTTCTTGCATATTTTCTCACATACAATATTGACCCACTGAGAAACAGCGTGTAGTGTTAAGAGTGGAGCTGGTCTTGTCAAAAGACGCGGCCAATTTGTTATGGAATGTTTACAAATTGACTCATGATATTAAATGTTTGGTTCGACAACTTAGAATATTGTTCACGGATTGTTTGATATCCAAAACGTTCTTGAAAGCAACAAAAATAGTTTTGCGATC